TAGCTCGTGGGAAGGCGTTCATTGGTGGAATGTTATATTGTGGCTTGGGGGTTTCTCGCCAAGGAGTAGCAGTGTGCGTGCTGTTCCTGTCGATTGTTTGTTGATCTTGGGTGTTTGCGGTAGTATTTTTATTGCTTCGTGTATTTGAAGAGTTGTGAAGTCGTTAAATCGGCGGTTTTCTTTGGTGTTTTGTACTAGGTCCTGACGTGTGAGTTTTTGGTTGTGGATGCGGGCACAGTGTTCTTTGATGGCTCCATTTTGTAGGTGCATTGTTAAGCGTCTTGACAGGGTTGTGGTAGTCATTCCAATGTAGGATTATATTTTATTTTAGCTTTTATTATATTGACCTATCATCTGTGCCTGGCTAACAATACAGGAGTTACAATGACGCCGCTCACTTGCACCCATGTTACATGTTACGGTATCAAATCACAAACTGACCTTTGGTGTCTACAAATAGCAATAATCTATATACATATATAATGTATAATAATTGAAATGTGACTGTATTTTACAAAATACTAGTCGACTAAAACACAGCCAAGACAAGTTACTTTTGAAATAAGTTGTTAAACTTACTTTCTTAAAGCACAGAACAATAAATAAAAAAGTAAAGCAAACAATTATCTCTTCTAGTTATGACCTTTGTACTTGGTTGCTGCTTGACATAGGTTGCTAAACCTTTTAAAATTTTGAACATGAAGGATATGATGTGAAATAATTTTTTTTAGGTTTTATATATATATACAGTTGAATAATCAAAAAATCATAAATTACTATATGAATACCACAGAATTCCACTATAATTTATCAAGCTTAGTAAATAAGCTGTATTTCAATCTAAAAAAATATGAAATTTTGAGCAGACTAAAGACACAACCTACCTCCTTGAAATCTTGGTTCAAAAGAAATAGATGGCATCCAAACACATTCTGAGTTTTTTGATTGGTTATTCATGTCATATATAGAAGTGTATATATAAGGGAGCATTTCCAAAAATGGAAAGAGGTGGGCAGGGTGCCAATGTGTTTCATTTATTACATGAGCAATATCTTGGCAAATTGAAAAGATAAGAGGCTCTTATTTTATATTCTAGCTAGGTAATTCTAGGTAATTTGAGTTCCTAATTCATACAAAACTTTAGACTTAGAATCTAGACATTACAAACCTCTAATGTGAACCAGTGCGGCATTGAACATACCACGTGATATTTAATATTTACTTTTAAATTAACAAATTTAGTAAGGTATAATACTAAAACTTGAATTATAATCTACAATTTGATACCAAACTTATTCACATAAATTCATGAAATAGTAGTTCAATAAAATTTTGAATGCGAGTGAACAAACAAGATGACATGGCCTTTCACCTGTGACCTGTCTGGAAAGAGGTAATAAAGGAAATTTAGATGTACACGTACTCAATCTTTGTAACTTTGGAGAGTGTGCATCACAATGCTCTAACTGATAAGTCAGAATATCATGGAATATTCAAACTAACATTGCCATCTATAAGGAGTTATTTAAAGAATGAATTTGTAAATACAAATACTAATAAAAAACAACAAATTTTACTGTTCCTTTGGAATCTACAATAAGTCCAATGTTTTTATTACTGTGTATAAATGTTCTTAACATTCAACAATGAATATACACGCAGATGGTAAAATTACCACTAAAAAAATTATCAACAAAATATCATTGATCTTAAACATAATTTAAATTTTGACTTAAATTGAATTGCTAATATTTTTTTCTTCAAAATCAACTCTTAATAAAAGTATGTAAAATAAACAAGTTGTGTGTTTAAACAATATACAAAATATTAATTTTGCTTACATTTATTTAACTGTCAAAATGTTCAAGAAAAATAAGAATCTTGGAAATTTAACATTTTCCTCATATGGAAGTGTATTTCAGATGGATACTCAACTCTCCACAGAAGAGAAAGCTGCTGCCTCAGCCCTCTGCTGAACAGCTTGTGTGTCACCCACTGGGGCTGTGGGCTAGTGGGAGTATCACTGGGTGGGAAACTGCATCCATCTCAAGACAGGATACTCTTTGCCCAATACAAGTGGTAGTACAGAAAGGTAGCCAAAGAACCTCCCACATGGTGATAAAGTGCTCTAAAGGCTTGCCAATAGGCCTGTATATTTCAGGGAGTTAGTACCCTATGTGCAGTGTGGCTAGAACAATAAGTCAAGCCATACAAGCGAGAAATACTTATCTAATATACCTACAAGAATAAGCAGAAGTGTAAGATGAATCACCCCATACCTGCATTCCA